CCCACAATGTGCAGGACGTCAGACTAGATGATCATGATGGTCCCTTCTGACCTTCAAGTCTTGTGAGTAAGGCTACGTTTTAGTTACGGGTATTTTTAGTAAAAGTCATGGACAGGTCATGGGCAGTAAACAAAAATTCACGGCCTGTGACCTGTCCATGGCTACTTCTAGATCTACTGTATACCCCTGACTAAATCTTGGGGTGGGGGGGTGCTCATGGGGGTGTGGGGATACTCAGGGGAGGGGGTGTCCCGGGAGTGCTGGGTGAGGGGGGTGGAGAGAAATCTGTGACTTCCATGACCTCTGTGACACATTCACAGCCTTACCTATGAGTCTGTCACACAGGGCATGACACTTTTCACAGCCCTGAGCAATGTAGTCAAGCTGTAGTGTAGTCAAGCTGTAGTGTAGACTAGCCCTTAGGCCAGGGGTGGGCAAACTTTTTGGCCCGATGGCCACATCTGGGTATGGAAATTGTATGGCGGGCCATGAATGCTCATGAAATTGGGGTGTGGAAGGGGGTGAGGGCTCTGGCTGGGGGTGCAGACTCTGGGGTGGAGCCAGAAATGAGGAGTTCAGGGTGCAGGAGGAGGCTCCCCAGCTGGGTCAAGAGGTTAGGGTGCAGCTCCAGCTGGGGCTGTGGGCTCTGGGGTGGGGCTAGGGATGAGGGGTTGGGAGTGCAGGAGGGTGCTCCGGGCTGGGACCAAGGGGTTCAGGGCAGGAGGGGGATCAGGGCTGGGGCAGGGGGTTGGGACATGGGAGGGGGTCAGGCTCCAGTTGGCGCTTACCTCAAGCAGCTCCTGGAAACAGCAGCATATCCCCCCTCTGGCTCCTTCGCGGAGGCGCAGCCAGGAAACTCCTATTGGCTGGGAACTGCGGCCAATGGGAGCTGTGGAGGCGGTGCTTGGGGCGGTGGCAGCGTCTGGAGCCCCCTGGCTGCCCCTGTGTGTAGGAGCTGGATGGGGGACCTGCTGCTGCTGCTTGGAGCCAGGCGGAGCCACAGCACGTGCGGAGTGGGACAAGCCCCCGACCCACTCCCCAGCTGGAGCGCCGGAGCAGGGCAAGCCCTGTACCCTGCTCCCTGGCAGGTGCTCAAGGGCCAGACTAAAACATCTGATGTGGCCCCTGGGCCATAGTTTGCCCACCCCTGCCTTAAGCTCATGCTAGGATGCTAAAAATAGCCAGGTAAACATTCTATCTTGGACTGGAGCTTGGCCTCTGAAGCCCAAGCCCATCACTACCACAGGATCTTGCACGAGTTGTGCCCAGTGTGTCTCAAGTACAAGCAAGGCCTAAGCGCAGTGCAGAACAGTGCCCAGGGAACCGCCACATCCCTTGCTGTTCATGTCAAGAGGTGCTTTTAATTTTTGTGTTTCAGTTCCAGCGAGATCAGAGCCTGGAAGATGTCATAACTCATGTTTGTTGCCTTCTCTGCACCCCCCAAGAACACACACAGCTGGACGTGTTCTCTTGCCTCTGGCTGGAATTGCTAAAATGTTCCTTTCAGGGAACGTGTCTGTGCTGGAGGTGAAAAATATCGTCCGCATTTTAAAGCGGGGGAAGACGCACTGCTTCTGTTACTCATGCTGCTGTTAGCTTGTAGTTGAGGCTCGTACTGTCTAGCATGCTAGCCTTTCGAGACGTGGTCAGGCTCCTGGCAGCATTGTGGGAATGATGGCACTATTAAGTTCCAGGCACTGTAGAATAAAGAAGACCTAATGTCTGCATGTGATTTGTACACTGTAGCAGACGAATAGACTCCATCTGGGTGCGTGGTGGGGTCAGTTTGCATTGGGAAGCTAATAGACCAAGTTGTCTGTCAAATGTTTGATGGAGGGGGGGAACTGTGAGCAACATTCACAACTTCTTTACACTTTTTTTTTCTTTTTTCTATTCAGCCAGCCCTGCCGCCCAGCGGGCGTGCCAGAGGGCAAGGGGTGCAGCTAGAGGATGTGGAGCTGTGCAGTGCTCCTAAACTATGCAGGAGCGCAGCGTCACTCCTACATGGCTTAGGAGATCTTCATGACAGTGGCTTTTCCCTCTGTGCAGGAAGTGGGAGGTAATGCCAATGCAGAGCTCCTGAGTCCGTCCTCCACCTAGGCTTCCCAGATGGCACTTGCCACATTCTGCAAATGTGCCCCTGCCCGTCCCAAGAGTGTGTTGTTTTCCTCTGTTCTGCTACCTACCTCTGAGCTAACAGCTGGTAACTAAGCCCAGGTGAAATCCTGGTGAAGACAAGGTAGTTTAAAAATGAGTTAGCAGGTCAAGATGGAGTATGGAGGGGGCCTATGGTTTCCCTGAACCTCCTAACTCGTGTTAAAACTGTCTTCACTAGGGTTTCCCTGTTAGCTAACACGAGTTCAGAACACAGCTAGTGAAGACCGAGCCTCCCACACTTACAGTGAAGCACATGCTTAAGAGTTTGGCTGGATTGGTGCTTGGATGCCCAGCACCTGGCAGGATCAGGTCTCTACAGAGCAGTTGATCTAGATACTCGATGGATGCTTAGTAGCCAGAAGTGATCTAGAGAAAAGATGCAGCTATGGCTGCATTGTATCTAGTGACGTTAGTGACATTAACAGAGCAAACCCCAGCCCCAGAGCTGGGCGACCAAGTCACAAAGTCATGTTAACTACCTGAGACCAGGGACAGCACAGCTGCGCTGGTAGAATTGGTGTCAGATAGAGAAGTAGCCAGTAACCCAGAGCGATGGCTGCACCTCACACCTTGCATCTGAAGAAGTGAGGTTCTTACCCACGAAAGCTTATGCTCCCAATACTTCTGTTAGTCTTAAAGGTGCCACAGGACCCTCTGTTGCTTTTTACAGATTCAGACTAACATGGCTACCCCTCTGATCTTTGCAGGAGTTTGTCCTTAAACTTTATAAAGTTTCTAGAATTACAGTAGCAGAGCTACATTTTTGTATTTAAAGTAAGATGTTCCCCCATCTAGGGTAGCACAAAGCAACAGTAGAAAGCAAAGGGACCCACAAGTCTCTTAAAGAAAACAAGCATTTAAATGTCAACTTTTTGTGCCTACGTTACTTCAGGGAACATCAGACCCATGTGTAATATTGTATACCGTATGGGCTGCAATAGCTAAGAGCTAGCAGAGGTGTTTAAAGACCTCCTGGGAGCTTTACTTTTTGAATTCTTTTCTGATATAACAGCATCACGTTGTAACATATGGCTTATCAAAATAACCTTTCAAGTGCCTTCTCGGTCTTTAAAACCATTATATTCAGGCAGCATAGAATTACATTGGGCTAGTGGCTTTATGCATATATTAATTTCTATGACCCTTTTATTTTGAGGGGCGGGATCTTGATTCTGCCTCAGTCTTGATACTGGGATAATCCAGCTTGAACAATTTTTTAAAAATAGATTTTTTATTTTTTTTTAATTTTTTTGCTGTGTGTACTTACAAAAGTGGACTTTTTTCCCTTAGGTAAAAATCTCGTTGGTTTGTCTAGCAAGATAACAAAATGCTGGTGACAGATCCAAGTTTTACTTCAACATTTATTGCAGCAAACATGGTCTAACTATGAATGCAAAAAAGCTGACACCGGGCTGGCCATCTGTAGGCTATATTGTATTGCTTTAGGTTTGTATCAGGAGCTTTGTTAGTATGGCAAAATACTATGCAGTTTGGCCTGCAGCTGAATACTACGATTGGAAATGAGTTCGGAAACACTGGTTAATTCATGATAATACAGCAGTGGTAAGCTGCAGTGTTTATTTTGGGAGCTCCCATTACATGGACCTCTCTTTACACATGGAGTTAATTTTTATTAAATAGCCTTGAAATGCAAACGTTGGGGAAGGGGAGGGAAAAGCTGACAACACGCTGATTTTGGTCGTAGCACAAAAAATAAAAAGCACGGAACTCTGTAGCAAGTGACTAGTGCTTCGATTGAGACAAGCACACTGATGACAATGAGGACTTGAGCACGTGTTTGAAGACCAGTATTAGTTGGTTTTGCTGGATCGGGGGCCTAGTTGAAGGATTGATTTTTAGTCTGTTGGTATGTGTCCTTGTGAATAAATCCTAAAATCTTTTGTTTGTTTTTTAAAAAGTCTCCTTCGACAAATCAATTCAGGGGAACAGGGATTTTAGAAGGTTGGTTTTTTGATCATCAGAGACCTGAGGAAGAGTTCTGTGTCAGCTCAAGAGCTTGTCTCTCTCTCTCTCCAACAAAAGTTGGTCCAAGAACAGATGTTCCCTCCCCCACCTTGACTTTCTCCTTGGTAATACTATTTAACTAAGCCCAAGGAGCAATCTGTGATTACAAAGAATCATCAGCCAGAGCGTTTTAAGATATTGCTGACCCTGTGCAGCAGTCCCCAGAGTTGCAGACTATAAGACTTGTTTGTTTTTAGCTGCTCAGATTCTAAGGTAACAAGCACCAGATTAAGAAACCGACTGGACGGGCCGATTCTGTTGGTAAAAGACATCCCCAATGTCCGACTCCTTTAAGACTCTGATAAAGCCCCATTAAATCATCTCCTTTATGTGCCATTTATCAGAACCTTTTCCTTCTTTCCACGCACTGACTTAAGAGCATGGAGTGCCAAATTCTCCTGTAGAAGAGGTTGTTAGGACCTTACTTGAAAGGGGAGGTAATGTGGTCTCATTGGTAAAATATTGGACTGGGAGTCAGGAGTCCTGGGTTCTAGTCTCAATTCTGCCATTGGGCTGCTGGGTGATGTTGGCCAAGTCACATCCCTGGTTTCCCTCCAGCCCTTGGACTGTCTGGTCTCTTTAGATTGTAAGATCTTCAGGGCAGAAGCTTGCTCTCACTACATATCAAAGCATCCAAAGTACTGGGTGGATGAATTTTAAATAAATTAGAAGTAAAATGATCAGATGATATGATAAAACTTGTGTCTGGCCTTCTCTGGTCAAAGTAATTGGATTGCTTTTCCAAGATGAAGGTTTAGTAAATAACTGTTATGACTTCTGCAGGTTGCTTGTGATACTTGTTTCTTTTCACTTTGCAGTGCCTTCTCCTAGTGCCTTGCTGGTAGACAATCCCACGCCTTTTGGAAATGCAAAGGAAGTTGTAGCAATCAAGGACTATTGCCCAACTAACTTCACAACCTTAAAGTTCTCCAAGGGTGACCACCTCTACGTCTTGGATACCTCGGGAGGCGAGTGGTGGTATGCTCATAATACCACGGAAATGGGTTACATACCTTCCTCCTACGTCCAGCCTGTAAACTACCGAAACTCTTCCTTCACTGACAGTGGCATGATAGACAATCTGCTCGAAAGCCCTGACGAAGGAGTCAGAGAGCTAGATCTGCTTGGAGAGTGGACTGATGTAAAGAGAAACTCTGCCAACACCTACAGTAACAACCCTTTCTTAAATGGGGTCCAAACCAATCCGTTTCTGAATGGGAACTTGCAAATGATGCCCAGCTCAGACAAAGAGTGCACCCCCAAAACCACTGTGGACTTACTGCTGTTTGACACGGCAGCTCCTCCGTTTACAGGGGCCAGTTCTGCAATGAACAGCAGCATAAGTAACATCTTTGTTGAACTTCCATCCACAAATGGATTGGAGTTCGAACAGCCTGTGAGGCGGGACAATCCCTTCTTCAGAAGTAAACGCTCGTACAGTTTGTCGGAGCTGTCTGTCCTTCAGGCAAAATCAGAAATGCCAGCATCATCAGGGTTTTTTACTGGATTAAAATCGCCTACCCCAGAGCAGTTCCAGAGCAGGGAAGATTTTAGAACTGCCTGGCTGAACCACAGGAAGCTGGCACGGTCGTGCCACGACTTGGACTTGCTTGGCCAGAATCCTGGCTGGGGTCAGACACAACCTGTGGAGACCAACATCGTCTGCAAGCTGGATAGTTCTGGTGGAGCAGTTCAGCTCCCAGATACTAACATCAGCATCCATGTGCCAGAAGGACATGTCTCGCCAGGGGAAACACAGCAGATCTCCATGAAAGCCCTGTTAGACCCACCCCTGGAGCTCAACAGTGACAAATGCAGCACCATAAGCCCAGTGCTGGAGATTAAACTGAGCAACATGGAGGTAAAAACGTTCATCATGTTGGAGATGAAAGTGTCGGCGGAGGTCAAGAATGACATCGTGAGTCAGAGCTTGGTGGGATTACAGTGCTTGCGTAGTGACATAAAAGAAGGACCCTATACACCAATGCAACTCAGCTATTCCTATGGAGACATGATACAGGTGCAATTGGATAACCTGGAACCTTGTATGTATGTAGCTGTTGTAGCCCAAGGACAGAACGTCCTATATCCTTACACTGTCTGGGACTACATCAGTAAAAAGATCACCGTGGGTGTCTATGGCCCCAAACACATACATCCTTCTTTTAAAACCATAGTGGCTATTTTTGGACACGAGTGTGCGCCAAAGACTCTCTTAGTGACCGAGGTTACACGGCAAATCCACGGCGTGGCGCCTGTGGCCCTGCAGCTGTGGGGCAAGCACCAGTTCGCTCTGGGCCAGCCGCAGGACTTGAAACTCTGCATGTTTTCCAACATGACTAATTATGAGGTGAAGGCCAGCGAACAAGCCAAAATCATCAGAGGCTTCCAGATGAAGCTGGGGAAAGTCAGCCGCCTCATCTTCCCAATCATGTCCCATGACTTCAATGAGCTCTCAGACTTCACATTGAGGATACAGGTCAAGGATGACAAGGACGCCATATTGACCCAGTTCTGTGTGCAAACACCACAACCACCTCCTAAAAGTGCCATCAAGTCCACTGGGCAGAGAAGGTTCCTCAAGAAGAATGAGGTTGGGAAGATCATTCTGTCCTCCCTGGCTGCTAGTAGCAAATATCCTGTCTTTCAGGAGCGGCCAGTTGCGAGCCTGAAGTATGGCAAACTGCTTAAAACTGTAGTGCGCCAAAACAAGAACCATTATTTACTGGAATATAAGAAAGGAGATGTCATAGCGCTGCTCAGTGAAGAGAAGATCAAACTGAAAGGCCAGCTGTGGACCAAGGAATGGTACATTGGCTACTACCAAGGAAAAATCGGCCTTGTTCACGCCAAAAACGTGCTAGTGGTTGGGAAAGTCAAGCCCAGCTATTTTTCTGGACCTGATCTCACCACCAGTGCATTGCTTGAGCAAATCCTGAGGCCTTGCAAATTTCTGACCTATATCTACGCCTCAGTCAGGACTCTGCTTATGGAGAACATCAGCAGCTGGCGCTCGTTCGCAGACGCCTTGGGATACATGAACTTGCCACTCACTTTCTTCTGTCGAGCAGAACTAGACAGCGAGTCAGAACGGGTAGCCTCGGTGCTGGAGAAGCTGAAAGAAGACTGCAATAATACCGAGAACAAGGAGAGGAAATCTTTCCAGAAAGAGCTAATGGCGGTGAGTACTCAGCCTGTCGGAGAAGTTCTTAATCTATTAAGAAATGTGTTCTGAACTGGGAGTAGAAACAGGAATGCAATGTGTTTGTAAACAGTCCATACAAACGAAAGTACATCTGATTGTGTGGGGTTTTTTGCAGCATGTTTTGATGGGGAAACTGGCCATCCTTCACTGTATTCATATTACAGCAGGGCCTAGAAATCCCCAAGTGGGATCAGGACCCCAGTGTGCTAAGTGCTGTACATACACATAGAGAGAGTCCTTATCCTGAAGAGCCAACATGGCACAGAGACACAGAAAGCTGAAATGACTTGTCCAAGTCACACACCAGGTCGGTGGCTAACCTGGGAATCCAACCCAGGTCTCCTGACGTTCCTTCCAGTGCACCATCCAATAGACAACTTTGCCTCTCAGTGGAGTTCAGTGAAAATGACTTAACTGCTAGGGCAGTTTGAGTCTTCTATTCCCTAACAGCATAGGGAATTATCGTGATCAGTAAAGCATAGTGGGGTATTGCACCATAGCTGCAGTGAAACATCTTGAACAGGCTGCTTGCTGTTCCACAGTTAAAATGTTAATCAAAATGCAAATGAAGCTGTACCTCCAGATTGGAGGGTGGGGCATTGATGGTTACATAGCTATAGAGGCACTTCACAATCCTTCTGTCTTTGAGTGGTGGACACTGTATGTTCAGAGCCTCTGTGGGGTTTTAGGCAAATACGTAGACGTATGTGTTTATTTTAAAAGGTAGCTGATCCAAAGCCCATTGAAATAATTGCAAGTTGGTCCACTAGCTTTAGTAGGTCTTTGGCTTTAAAGTGGTTATTCGTGCTCTGAAGCCAGCAATAAATAAATACCGTGAAGAATTCCTAGTCACGGAGGTGAAGCAACTTAAAGCCAAAATAGTTTGTTAAAGCTTGTTGGGCATCGACAGCCATTTGGAGGTTTTATGCGGGAGCTTGTAATAAGACAGCAAACTGGCATATAGCAAGAAGTTAAAAACGACTCCTGTACAGGAATATGTTGGTTCACTGTCAATTAAAAAAACCTCGTGCACTGAAGTATAGCAAAGGGTTCTTATAAATATTGCAACTGGGAAGAAAGAATTCTGCATCTTCACTTTTATATAGGATTAAAAAACAGGCTTCTTTAAAAAAAGGATTTTCCTGCCAGTTATTTTTAATCAGGAACCTGTTTGCTTCGTCTCTTTCCCTGACCATCTTCTAAGCATATTAGGTAGACTGGGTGACTGTAGCAGCTTGAATTTAGGTGGCTCATCCTGAACAATGGACTACTCATACAGTATCAGAGGGGTAGCCATGTTAGTCTGTACTATACCTAATATCTAAAAATCTGGCTTAACCAGCGATGTGCTAATAAACTTCTGTTTGCATTCAAGGGAAACTTGAATCCTGTGATTCTCGCTTAGTTGCCCTTAAAAAATCTCACTGAAAACTTGTTGTTGCAGAGTGGATCTCTGTGTGGTTCACAGGAAACAAGCCAAAGACATTCAGGGCTTGTATTTTAGACCAGTTTTGCGGCACTCCTCGTCCTTGAAATTGTCTCTTTCACAAAAGCAGATAACTAAGCAACAGAGAATCACATTTTTAAAATGGAAACTTAACTATTGAATAGCAAAAGCTTCTCTTGATGGTTTCAGGACTGGGAACTAAATTATTCATAGATAAAATGGGTCGAAATATGTAATAACTCACATCTTTGTCATTTAATAGGAGTGGTGAATGTTGAGGATTAGGTGTAAGCTGTCTTCATTATCATGAAGAAAGGATGTAGTTGAGTAATGGCTCCCCAATCTAGCGTGTTCAGGGATTCATTTGTGACTATTCCCTATAATACCTCAGCAGAATTAAAAAAGCTCTTTTCAAAACTCCTACCTACATTTGATATCACTATGGAGAATGGGAAAATATTGCACCCCAAAGAGAAAGTGATGGAGCCCTTTGAGTTTTACTGGAATTCACATGATCATAGGAGCCGCCTAATGAACTAATTAAAAGTAAATAAATAATCATAAAATTAGGGATGAACTTTTCAAAGCAGTCTAGAGCAGTAGTTCTCAAAGCTGGTCCGCCGCTTGTTCAGGGAAAGCCCCTGGCGGGCCGGGCCGGTTTGTTTACCTGCCACATCTGCAGGTTCAGCTGATCGCGGTTCCCACTGGCCGCGGTTCGCTGCTCCAGGCCAAAGGGGGCTGCGGGAAGGGCGGCTAGCACGTCCCTCAGCCCACGCCGCTTCCTGCAGCCCCCATTGGCCTGGAGCGGCGAACCGCAGCCAGTGGGAGCTGCGATCGGCCGAACCTGCGGACGTGGCAGGTAAACAAACTGTCCCGGCCCGCCAGGGGCTTTCCCTGAACAAGCGACAGACCGGCTTTGAGAACCACTGGTCTAGAGCATTTTGAAACATCAGCTATTAAGTCTAATGTATCTAAATCCCCTGGATTGCTTTGAAAAGCTCAGTCAAGATTTCCTCAAATTCAGGTATGTGGTCTGTTGTAACTTCACAGTGAAAGTTGCTCATATCATTATTTGAAGGAAACTTAAAAAATAAATAGTGCTGTCGAACTAGAGCTTGCTGTGACAGATTGATGGGGTTAGACATATTTAAATTGTCACTTTGATCCTTTGTAAATCATTCCACAATCTGCAGTGTTAAACTTTTGATAGCTAAGATCCCATTGTTTAAACTAGCAGCCATTCAGAGTCTGTACAGAAGCCAGCCGATAGGAAGAGAAGCAGCAGTTGGACAAGAAATTATATTAAACAGAAAATTTTATGCTTAAACAAGGCCAAAGCAAGGATGATGAATGCTGGGTGGGTGGGGGAGGGGATTGAGGCTAGGTTGAGGTCCAAGAAAGCTGCTGGGTTCTTGACTCCTGCACAGGGTTATATATTGTGGTACATGGAAGTGGGGGAAGGCCGGGAATCAGGTTTTCAAGTTTTCTTTCCTTCCTGCCACACCATTCCTGCTTTGTTGTTAGGGTGACAGAGAGCTGCCAGGCGCATCCCTCTGCTCCATGGATGAAGATTTCTGACAGACAGGAGCGACATTTTTAGCTGAAGTGTCTTAAAGCTGTAGCGTCCCCTTCTGCTTTGATAACTTACGAAGCTCTGAGCAGTCATACTCCTCTCTTACATACAATGCAACTCCC